TAGCAACTAACCAAACATCCAAGCAAATGCTCTAGAAACCACTCAGAATACCTTAAAAACACCCTGGCAACTACCCAAATGCCCTAGCAACCACCTAGAATTCACTAAAAATGCCAAGCGTTATTTTTGCACAGTAAGCTGCATTTACATTTTCATTAGAAAATACAAAAATCTAGTTGCAATTTGGTTTTACTCTCCATTACTCTCCATTAAATATTTACATTGGCTGACGTGAGATGGACGTGATGACGCAATAGCAGCGACTCTAACAACGGAGGCAAGATTAGTCTTGACTGCACATGGCGTTTGAAAAATAGAATTCAATGTACAAACCCAAGGAAGTTGTTTCTTCTTTTTTTTGCTCTTCTTGTTTGTTTTCTAAGGAGAAAATCAAAGTGGATAATATTGACGGATTGGAAAATTTCATTGATTCTTACTTCAATTACTACACTTACTATGCCGACTTCAAGCGCCTCTTCTACCACTTCTCAAAATGAAGACACTAACCCGGCTAAGCGGAAAAAGAAAGACTCTGCTACAGATACGGCACAAGTATTTTATATCCTTTAATCTATGTAACTTCTGAACTATTAATTATGTGAATTGCAAAACTGGCATCATGTGTTTTATGTGTCTGTATGTTTTTTATCATGCCTTGATGTTAAATGTATTTGAATAAAGACAAAAAAAAGAAATATTTATATTTTATGTACATCAGTTTTATTTAATTTACCAAAAATAATTTTTATGTTTTTTTATTTAGCTAACAGAAACAACACTGGAAGTATGAAAGTAAATAGGTTTCATTCCATTTTTTGCATGCACATATAGAGGTGAACTCAAGTAGCTTTTAATAAAAACGAGCTATATGAATAAACATGTTCATATGAAGTATTTTTCTACGGTATGAAGTATCTACTACAAAATCCCACACAGATCCATAGTGGCATTACGAGGCAGGTCAAAGCGAAACACATGTTGAACTGTTACGTATTGTCAAGGAAATGACATCATCTGCTTGTCATGTTGTTGGTGGCTCATTTCCTGCACCTGTGAATTTAACCGCACTTACTCACTCATTTACACGTCCTTTTTCTCTTTCTCACTCCGTTTCGCGTCCCACACAGCGTCTTTGTGCTAAACTTCAAACGCTCGTGTGTGCGCTGAGAGCGAAAGGACAGAGTTTGTTACTGTGGCTCCTGCCTGCACAATGACCCCAAGCGAGGGCCAGTTAGGGGCCCCTGACTCCCTCTCTCTAATCTATCCCTCGGAGCGCTGTAAGGCCTCTTTGTTTGCGCTCTCCGGCTCAGGATGGAAACAGACTTTACGCTCAACATGGGCTATCAGGTTCAGCCCCACGGCGATCTGCTGCCTGGCCAGACGAGAGGAGAGGAGGGGTGAAGGAGGAGGTCGAAACACCCACAGCAGCCCTGCCACCAGCGCTACCTGATTTCAGTCACACACACGCTCTGACGGGCCGTTTCAGGGTAACCCATAGGACAGAAACATCACAAATGAGATCTCTGTGAAGGAGTAGTTCACTCGAAAATGAAGAAATCCTTCCAAATCGATCCAAAACCGTTTGACTTTCTTTCTTCTATGAAACATAAAAAGAGAAGTTATGAGGAATATTATAGAGGCGAGGGGCTGACAAACTTCAAAAAGGACAAAAACTACCATTAAACTATCATGAATGACCCCAGTAATCCCACATGTGTAGCACAGTTTCACAAGAGATCTCAACAATGTGCTCAGATTTGTCTGCAATCAACAGTCAAAAATGTATTTCTCATCAAATTCTCCCAAATCAAATGCACGCACTATGATGTATTTCTGAGTAAAACAGAGAATTCAGTAAGATAAAACTGACATGGTCGAATTTACTCTTAAAATGTATTGATTAAAGTATATATAGCATTGATTAAAGATTAAGACGACAAACATATTCTCTTAATTTCTTATCAGGTTCTCCTATGATTAAATCTACTCTATCATCAACTATATGACTAAAGTTTTTTAGGCATTTTAGGACAAACCACAGACGAACTTACTGTATATAAAAACATAACTGAAATCTCCATTAAGTCTTCTGAGTTCAGAAGGAGCAATGTCTCAAGAACAATGACTAACCCACAACTGTTAAACCAGTTCTGTTTTAGTAATATTAAAATACAATTATAGTTTTTATTAATATTTTAAGTTAGATTTAAATTTTAATCTGTTTATATTTCAGTTTAATTACATTTTAATTTATTTTAATTAAATTACTTTTTTAGTAATTTTATTGTATGTTTTATTAATATTTTAAATATTTTTTTTTATAAAAAAGATTTTCTGCTTATATTTTATTTTTTATTAGATGACATTTATTTTAGTACATTAAGTTAAACTAAATGAAAATGAGAAATGTTTCTTTGGCAACTATCTGAAATAAAATAAATCTAATTTCGTTTGTATTTTATTTTTATTTTAAGTAAAGAATTTGTTTCATGTTTTCAGTTTTAGTTTAAGTTAACTATAATAATCCTGTTTTAAACCTCTCTTTCAGCATCTTTCTCAGTACTCGCTCTCGGTCTGGTGGCTGTTTCCGGACACTGAGAGGCTTTCGTTTGGGATTAACGCTGCAGAACAGAGTCGGGATACTCCGACAATCAGAGGACGGCGAGTGAAGCGGTGCAGCTTACCCTGAGCTCGTGCCCCACGGCACATTCGCACGCAGATGAAATCTCTGCCGAGCCCCAGAGTGAAACTCGGAGAAGGCCGGAATACAGCGGCGCTGCCGTAGCCCGCAGCCACTCCGTGACCCCCTTAGAAAAGTCACATTCACTTTGCTCTGGAGAAAGCAGAGAAAACGCCCCAGGGCAGCACGCAGCCCCAGCCGAAATGAAGAAATTAGGGGAGGTGAAAATAAAGTGAAAATAAGTTAAGATTCCTCCCTCGATCCTGCCTTTCTCTTCTCTCGTGATCATGAGAGGTGGTCAGATGGGCGGCGTTACTTCAGAAAAACACCCTACAATTAAACACACAAAACAGCCAAGACCCTCAGCCAAACATACCACGACACTGCTATCAGACGGTACTTAGATATACCCAGTGGTACTACATAATTATTATATTTATAAGCCCTTAAGCTATAACTACATTCACAACAAACTGTAGTGTTCATTTAATCAAAAGTGACAGTAAAGACATTTAAAATGTTACAAAAGATTTCTATTTCAAATAAATGCTTTTCTTTTGAAATTTCTATTAATCAAAAAATCCTAAAAAAAAAATCAAATGTATCACAGTTTCCACAAAAATATAAAGCAGCGCAACTGTTTTCAACAATAATCTGAAATATTTCTCGAGCAGCAAATCGGCATATTATTATGATTTCTGAAAATCATGTGACACTGAAGACTGGAGGAATGATGCTGAAAATTCAGCTGCGCATCACAGAAATAAATTACAGTTTAATATATATTCACATAGAAAACGGTTATTTGAAATTGTAATAATATTTCAATGTTTTTCCTGTATTTTTGACTGAGCTAATGAAGCCTTGGTGAGCAGAAGAAACGTTTAATCATTATTTGACAACTTAGCAGAAATCTGTTTTTAATTCAACATTAAACACTTCTTCTGTTCATCACTTGCAAAAGAGTGAAATCAAATTGATTTTAATGCTGTAAAACAATAAAACCCATAAAAGCAGTGTAAAAACTACTCCTAAGCGCTGTATCTGTGTGTGTACATACACATTTCACGCTTCTTGTTGATGTCAGAACGGTTACAATAAAGTGAAAGAGGTCAGGATGGTGTTCATGATGCAGAAGTAATGCATTTATTTAGTTAGCCTGCTTTCACTGCGGTTATGTTCACTGAGCAAACACACACACACACACGAGCAGGTTTTTAAAATGACCAGCTGACATTCACAAAGTGTTTTTTTCCGGTTTATGGTATTCAAACATTAGTCAGAATCCGTGAGGGAATACGAACAGGCCTTCTGACGGCAAGAGCTAAACATTCACCAGATGCAGCTAAACCCAATGACTTCATGTACAACAGCATGTCGAGGAAATATAATAGTGGCATTTCTTCATGCCTCCAGTGCGCATGGCGTAATCCTGCGTAATGCAGAGCAGAGCTGGTAGCCATATGTGGAGCGGCACTGCGATCTGCATCAGAACAACACTGTAACATGCTCACGGAGGACAGACGTGCAGTGCGTCCCGTTCACTGCTGTGAGAAACTGGACAAACACTGCAGGAGAAAATCCTCTAGTGTTTATTTTTGCTCACAATGCAACAAATGATCATCAGATCCTGCAGTGACACCCGAGAGAATGACGCAAAATAACAAACACTACCATAATCAGCATAATATCCATCAATACAGCTAAAAAATATAGTTATTTTTTAAGATTTTTGATAATATTCAATGTATTGTGCTCGAACATACGACAAAACTACTGATTTTTGCTGTGATTTTTTTTTGTATTATCAATTTGCTGCTCTAGTGATGATTTAGATGTGCCATATAACAAAAAAAAGAGGTCAGCACACATGAAATCAATTATTTTGGGTTTCATATTAGTTATTATTTTATGACTTTGCAGAGATCTGCTCTTAACTCAACATTAAACAGACTTTTTCTCCATCAGCTGCAAAAGAACCAAATTAAGTCAACTTTAACAGTGTTAAAACTAATTCATTAAAAAAAAGTCATTTTTTGCAATGTCAACCAAGCTAATTTCAGATTAGATTCAGAACGATTAATGTGAGAATTAAAATACTTTACAAATCTGGTCATCAGTGCATGCTTTCAACATTGTTCATGGAAAACGAATCAAACGAGTTTTGAATCGACTCCTTTTAAACTGATTCACTCAAATGAACCAAACTTACAGATTCTCTACAGACAAGATAGATGATGAAACCAGTCTATTGGCACAGTTTTTAAAACAATTAAAGGCCAAATCAAAAGTGCATATGGCTAGGTGAAGAGGTTCGTACCTCAGTGCCTGTCGTTGTTGCTCCTGGCGAGTCCACTTTGCGTTTTTTCCGAGGGCCAATGGCGGCGAGTGCCGTCAGGTTGGCGTCTCGTTGTCTCATTTGGGCGAGTTCCTGCTGCTGCATCTGTAAACAGAAAAAAATAATCGTATTACACACCAGCATGCAGAACATACTGTATGAAAAACTGTATCCAATCATGATGAACTTCGAAAGGTAACAACACAACACCCGTGCTCTGAAAATATCAGAGAAATGGATGAGATCTGGACAGGAATTGTGCATAATCCTGTCAAGAAAATAGGAAGCAGCTGGAGAACACTCACAGGAAGTGACATCATAGTCTGTAGTAAAGTAGTAAAGAATCAGTGTGAGCTGCACAAAACGTCACACAGGGGGCGATCATGAGCACCGCTTTAAACCATAAAATGACACGTGACTTCCTGCTGTCTCATGAACCTACAGATACACAAAAAAGTCCATAAAAGACCTCACGGCTACATCAAAACCAAGTCAATCAACTTGCCATCCGTTTTATTAATACCCCAGGCAGCTATTTCTAGAAAAGAGAAATAAACAAAATCTCCAAAACTAATTACTAAGCTTGCATTTCTATAATCAAACAACAATAAAACTGACAAAGATTGTGTCATAAATTGTCCTTCTTGAGCTTAAATCACACTAAAGAAACGTAGTTTAGTCCAGTTAATGTGCATTCTGGAGTCGTAGAGATCATGTGATACTTGAAGTTGATTGGCTCTTTTAATCTAAAGACAGGGCTTTCTGTCCTACAACTGATATTGAACAACATTGATAATAATCAGAAATGTTTCTTGAGCAGCAAATCAGGATATTAGAATGACTTCTGAAGATTATGTGACACTGAAGACTGGAGTAATGATGCTGAAAATTCAGCTTTGATCACAGAAATAAATTACATTTTAACATATATTTACATAGGTTATTTTAAATTGTAATAATATTTTACAATATTACTGTTTTTTCAGTATTTTTAATCAAATAAATACAACCTTCGTGAGCAGAAGAGAATTCATTCAAAACGTTTCAAAAATCTAACCAAACTATTGAATGGCAGCATAATTCTACATCTATACTGAATTGACCATTTGTAAGCATGAAATAAATGGATAACCATTTGCCAAATGTGATGTGAATATTCTATCCCACAGTGCACTGCAGTCAACTTCAAAAATACAACCTGTGAAAAATTAACCAGAAGCAACATTAGCCATCACATTCTTAACTCATTATTTGATCTGAGTAAGATCTGAAAAATACTAGACATTTTTACACAAACTTGCATTAAAAAATTACCATTTATACTTATATGATAACTTATAACTTATATGACACCACTATCTGAATTAAACATCCATCGCAACAAGGTTTTGTGACAAAATATAGCATTTAAATGTTGCATAATATGCTCAATTACACATAAAAATAGCAGGCACATACAGTAAGTAAATATTCTTTAATGTCAAAGTAAAACATTCATGATTCACAGTGGAGATTCTGCCATAATACAGATTCAGCTTCCCGATAAAGGTGTTTTTATACGATAATTAATCCCCTGAAAAAAAATATCATTCATTTTGAGGACATTTTTAGAGTGAATTTAGAGTGAATTAACGTTATATATTGCCTGAAAGTCTTTTTATCTGGTCATCTTACACAATACTGCTTCTCAAGTATGTTTAGAATATTTTAAACACAAGAACACAAGAAAAAATACAGTTTTTCTTTTTTGCATTTTGTCAGTCAGCTGCACCAGGGAATTAGACTATTATTTCATTCCAAAGCAAGCAACTGTCTCATCTGCGGCATGATGTCAGAGGAAGTGACATCATCTCCTGCAAATCACCAAAATCAAATCAACAAATCCGTCAGTGTCTTCTACCTCAAAATCCTTTCAAATGTAGTTAGAGACATTTAGGTGTGAATGTAAATGTGTGTGTGTGTGTCGGCTCACACTCTGTGATGTGATTTTTCACTTTGTGAAGTGTAAGAGGGCTCAGTGACGCCTCAGGTAATGTCACGGTTTCCTGCGGGGCAGCCTCGCTCACAGACCCTTTCTGAGGACGTGTTTGAGCCCGAGGCCAGCGCACACACACACACAGACATACACAGCCACATATGGCCTCACACACACACACACGACCATCACAGTCTGTCTGCAGTGAGGGAGTGAACCGCCCTGTGCCCGCTGGTGTTAGAGAGAGACTGTGTGTGTGTTGCTAAACTGAATGAGGGCAATCAATGCAATCTTTCATGCAGTCAGTTCTGTGTGTGTGTGTGTGTGTGTGTGTGTGTGTGTAAGATCAGAGAGAACTGTGATGTTGCCCTCAAAATGGCGTGTTATAAAGATTGCTTTGGTTTTCAACAGCCAGTGCAAATAGTGTCTGTAGGCAGTGAGTCTGTGGTGTCAGAGGAAAGGAAAGCACACCGCACTCGTCTGTGGTAGCGTTATGAAGACATGTTCATCTTCACCTGCAGCAACACCCTGAAAAACTATACCTTCGGGCATCACTTTAGAATTTCTTCTGAAACCATTAAACAGACACTTGAGATAATCAGGGTCTTCTTTTCTCCATTCAATCTTATTGTTGTCTAGAAGATGCATTTGGAGGGACAGCTGAACCATAAATGAAACATAAATGTCATTTCAAACCCATAGTTTAACTTTCTTTCCTCCACAGAAAATGAGATGTTTAACAGAATGTTCATGTGACTCTTTTCTATACGATGACAGTGGAAGCTGATCAGAGGCTCATGAGCACCTTAAAAGTTAATAGGGTGCCATAATATGTAATTTTCAAACTAATTTTCAAAAATTCCTCTATCATATCATATAATAATCAAAATAAATAGTACTACTAATAATTAATAATTATTAATGAATGTATTATTATTCTTATAGTTTTTTAATAAAAATTATAACAATAGTTATTATTGTAATAATATTATTGTACTGTCAATAATTATAATATAAGTGAATAATATTTATTATTACTAAATGTTATTTTTATTTCTTTATGAAACAAATCAATCAGTAAATATTACTACAGTTAAAACAAATAATACAAATATAAAACAAATAATTTAGTTTTAAATAATATCAATAATAATCATAATTAATGCTGGGCAATGATTAATCGCATCCAAAATAAAAGATTTGTGTACATAATATATGTGTGTGTACTGTGTATATTTATTATGTACAGTGGGTACGGAAAGTATTCAGACCCCCTTAAATTTTTCACTCTTTGTTATATTGCAGCCATTTGCTAAAATCATTTAAGTTAATTTTTTTTCCTCATTAATGTACACACAGCACCCCTTATTGACAGAAAAACACAATATATATATATATACTGTATATATATATATAATATAAATTCGATGAATATAAATATATACATGTAAATACATCACATAATACATGTATATCACCATCCAGCAATCACAAGTTTGGTTTGGAACAATTGGATGCTCATTTTTAGGACTGAAGTGTCCCTGTAAACGCTCTACATCCTCACAGTCCTCTGCAGGTCTGATATCACCGCACATATCAGCAAATCCAGCAGACGCAGACCGCTGACCCCTGAGATAATCCTATTCCAGCCCACGATGCCCCACTCAAGCACCGGAGCCGGCATGTCTGCGCAGCAGTTGGCACCAGACTCGGCGCCCGCTTCACGCCTGCAGCAACTGCCGGAGTCTCAGATTTATGGCGTTCTGATAAATGTGGGTCCCAGTGTGCCATCTGTGGTGCCAGCTCTCAGAGCGGCCGCCATTACAGACGAATCACCCACGTGCACCAGAGAGAACGAGGGGGAAGGAAATTATAGCTCAACTATGTGTAGAGTTAGTTAAGCGCCGTGCTCATTACAGGGGACAAATTTAGAGAAATATTCATATGAATTATTTTGGCTAACTGCTAATATATTCTCAGTGCTGCTTCAAAAATAAATGTTTAATAGTTGGCTGATTGTAGAAATGGTAATTGCTCTCAGCGTTAAGTAAAACTTACAGAAGTTTTGCATGTCGTAATTACGCTCATCACATAAGAATAATGAAGCGGAGACGCTGACACACAGAATTCACTGCTCTCGGTGCAAGAGCAAAAAAGAGATGCTTTCTTATAACCTCAAGTTACTTATTTCGTCTTGCGTAACCTTTCAACAAAGAACAACAGCATCAGAAACGATACGATAACCTTTAGCAGCCATTTACACACAAATCACACCATCCTGTGGATGATCAATATCTTTACGTTTGGTTCTTTCAGACCTGAGAAGAGCAGCTGTTACTCTTGTACTCTGTGATTATTTACAAAGGTCAACACGAGGGCAACATTAATGCCATCACATGTAAAAGAATACAGCAAACTGAAAATATGTACAATTCAATGTTTCACAGAGGGTGTCTGAATATTGATCGGAACGTATAACCAAATATCTATCTGAATATGTATCTGAATATCTATCTGCATATCTACCTATCTGTCTGAATATATAAATGAATATCTATCTGATTGTTTATATATATACGTTATATATATGTTAATATTTATCTATCTATCTATCTATCTGTCTGTCTATCTAGTTATCTATCTTTGAATATGTACTGTAACTGAATATCTGTCTATCTGAATGTCTATCCATCCATCCATCCATCCATCCATCCTCTATCTATCTATCTATCTATCTATCTCTGAATATGTACTGTAACTGAATATCTATCAATCTGAATGTCATTCCATCCATCATCCATCCATCTATCTATCTATCTATCTATCTGTCTATCTATCTGTCTGTCTGTCTGTCTGTCTGTCTGTCTATCAATCTATCTATCTATCTCTGAATATGTACTGTAACTGAATATCTATCTATCTGAATGTCTATCCATCCATCCATCCATCCTCTATCTATCTATCTATCTATCTATCTCTGAATATGTACTGTAACTGAATATCTATCAATATCTATCTATCTATCTATCTATCTATCTATCAGACTTACTAGCCTTCCATCCCGAATCAAAGCCGCACAGATCCACATCTCCAGTTCATGTGTGTTTCACCTCACAAAGCGCATGCGGGT